CATCTTAAGGTGTTCCACATCGTTTGTGGGATGTGGGATTGGTCTCTTTATATGGTCTTGGGCGATCCTCATCTCAAGAGTTAGCTTTTGGGGTTGAATTACACCATTGTCCATTTTTGTAACAATCTGGTTTTGGGTCATGGATTAATGAAAGTTGAAACAATTGTGGTCTCACCCAAGAACTGAGAGGCCTGAGCATAAAGAGTTTGAAGTTGAACAACTATTGGGGATGCAGGCTAGTGTCAAAGTTGAGCAAAGTTTCTTCTTTTATTGATGCTTTTGCATTTTCTTTTTGATGGGGTTCGGGACAGGGTTGATTAGAGATCTACTCAGTCACAAGGAGTTGGTGTAGAAGTGCATATTTCATGATAGGATTTAGTGGTCTCCAATGTATTTAGAAAATTGATTCTTCAATTTTCTTTCATTTGACTTTTGGAGGGGTTTGATGATAAGAAATTCACTTGAACGCTTATGTTAGTTTGATCTCTCTTACCAGACAAATAATGAGATTATAAGGTGAGAAGTGACACTTACAAGCTCTTACAAGCAGCACTTGTTGTTAACGTTTGCTTAATTATGCTATCATTTGAATGTAGAAATGTATTTGTTGAGTCTGGTGATTAGGTATACTGTACGATTGTTATTTATCAAGCCTTTGGTTCTGTTTGGAGCAAAATTTTGAGTATCTGTTATGCTTCCAGGCAAATGCATCCTCTGGCATGGGGGTTGCTGATCACAGCAAAGCTACATACATGGAACTGCAAAGGAAGAAGGTGCATCGATATGTGATATTTAAGATTGACGAGAAGAAAAATGAGGTTGTGGTTGAGAAAACTGGAGGTCCAGCTGAGAGCTATGATGATTTCACTGCAGCTCTTCCTGAGAATGACTGCCGATATGCGGTGTATGATTACGATTTCGTGACATCTGAGAACTGCCAAAAGAGCAAGATTTTCTTCTTTGCCTGGTACGTCATAGTTTCAGCCAGAACTTGCATAACTGGATTTTTGTCAAAGACTGGTGTGCATCTTAAATTGGAAATTGTACTAGTTTTAGACTCTTTACATCTGCTTACACAGTCCTCTGTGAATGTTGATGTAACTTTATTCTATATGTGCCAAGGGCATTCTGCTATCATTTACCTTGAAAATTGCTTCTAATTTATCTACAATGTTGTGAAGTCACATTAATGATTTTCAGAGAGCAGGCACTTTAATTTTTCTGAGTATCAAACATTTGTGTCTAGCCAATTGAGTGAGTGCTTGGAAAACAATATGGAAAAATTGGATGTGAATAGTTTTTCACCTTTGTGGAATATAACTAGCCCATCATGATGTGGATTGCAAGTATGATGGTACACGATCATTAAGAGAGTATCCGTGATGGCTGAAGCAGTCGAGTTAATGATAGAGAGAGAGAGAGAAGAGGTTGGTAGACCATTTGCGTATGTGGCTTAGGTTTGAAAGAAGAAGGGTTTTCTGAAAAGGGAAGTTGTATAGCTGTGGTAGTTAGATACTTGAGGTACCTGCAAAGTGAATGTCGGTTTCCTGAGAAAGTGTTGTAGTAGTGCAAATAGCCATTTGATTAAGTAACACTTGCATACATATACTGCGAAATTGGGGAAGCTAACCAACAAAGAAATAACTGATGTGTATGAGGAACTATATCTTTTGTATAGAATACTTTGCAGTTAAGAAATATCAAGGTGTAGAAGAGTTGGATGCAAGTTCTTTAGGAAGATTCATGGTCGCTCCGCCTAGCATTTCATATAAGACAATTGTTTTCAGGGCTTAGTTAGGTATGTATTGCTCTTTAGGCAAATAGACAATATGCTGCAGATTATTATATGTAGAAGTTTTGTAAGGGTGAGGATAGCCCCCATGTAATGAGTACAATGTCCAAAAGTATTTGTTACAAAATTTTGTTGGACAAGCGGCGATGATTTATGAAAATAATTCTTTGCCTTTGATCTTGAAGTTTCAAGTTTCAGCTTAACAAGATCTGCTTCAACCATGATTGGTTCTTTGTGGCATTGCAGTCGAAGCTCTCTCCCGTTTAACATATTCACATTTCCTGTCATAGATTTTTAATCCGGCTAATATTGGTTTTTCGTTCAAGTCTCTTGCTTTTAACTAAGGATTGTTTCTGTGTGATTTTGGATTATAAGTTCTAACTGATACATATTGATTTATTTTGTTAAGTTCTTTTAGTTTCCCTTTTCTGTCGTATATTCTCATCGGCTTTCACTACCTAGAGTTTAACTGCTTTCTTGACTTCGGTCTTTTTATCTTGTTGTTATACCTACTTGTTGCCACAACAATTTTTTTTTCACCCACCGAGGATCTATCGAAAACAGCCTCTCTGCCCTTCCAGGGTAGGGGTAGCTACGTACATCTTACCCTTCCCAGACCCTACTTGTGGGAAATTACTGGGCTTCTTCTTGTTGTTGTTTTTGTTGTTTTTCTGTCGTATATTCTCAATATATCCTTCAACATGAGTTTTCCACCTTCCATATATCCTAGGTGTAAGTGTTTTATCTAAAACAGATTGTTATCTTCTTATTGCAAAGTCCTTGGACCTTCTTTTCCTTGACCCGTCACTATTAACTAAAACAGAACAAGAAACAGAACAAATATGAAAGTAGGAAAATGTTGTCAAATTTTGCCTTTTCTGTATGTTTACTTTGGGTTTCATTAGTATAAATTAACTATGAAAGAGGTCTTGTGCTAATCCATTTTCTTGTTTAGGTCTCCTTCTGTTTCACGTATCCGATCCAAGATGCTGTATGCCACATCTAAGGACAGGTTCAGGAGGGAGCTGGAAGGCATACACTATGAGATTCAGGCTACTGACCCTACTGAAGTAGAACTTGAAGTGCTCAAAGAACGCGCTAACTGATTGAAACACCGTCTATCAAACAACCACTCATAATATTCTTGTCTAATTGCAACTTAATAGGCTTGATTTACTTAAATACCTATTGTGCAATACCTCCTCATGGCACAAATTACCTATGGCCTAAATAACTCGGCACTTGGGATGCTGATTACCAGACTCATGATAATGATCATGTTTTCTGGTTATGGGTTCTCTCATTCTCATGATGCTTCCCTGTCGAGAAACGGGTATGGTTATGTATGTGAATGATTCAAGTATCAACTACAGTATGTCTAAGCAATGAATATTGTGTGTTATTAGCATCTCATTGATGATTGATTGTTGTTTTTCCTTCTGATAACTAACATAATTTGCTTGTCAATCTGTTGGGGGATAGTTAAATAGATCCCAAGTTGATACCACAATGCATCTTTTGGACTGCTATACAACCAATGTAGCTTGAGGATTCTTCGTAAATAGATTAGTTTTACGTTTGTCATCCATTTATACTGGTATTCTTCCTTTATCCAGACTTTGAACGAATTATGTTCGACAAATATAGGTGAAGTTGATTGACTAAAGGGCAGCCCGTACATAAAGCATTTTGCGTTCACGCAGGATCCGGGAAAGAGCCGCACCTTAAGGGGTATGATGTAGACAGCCTACCCTAATGCAATTGTTTGGTGGCTGCTTCCGTGACTCGAACTCGTGATCTATAGGTCATATGGAGACAATTTTACCGTTGTTCCGAGGTTTCCCTTCAAAATTGTAATGTACCAAGCCAGGATGTAATTTGCAACGTTCACATGGTTAAAGATATAAGTATCTGGTTAACAAATAACATCGCATGTGTGAGCTTGCTCTATTGCGGAAAATAAAGGTTATAGTATATTGATGATCAACTTAAAATTAGTCAATTGAAGATTGATTTCTCAAAATATTAAATTAATGGTGGAAAGCATAAATAATGCTGTCTGGTGGTGGGTAAGCATGCTAATAAAAATTCAGTCCCAAGACTGTATAAAGAACGCCAAAGGGAGTGATGCAGCAGATGGGGTTGTTTTCTCTTAACCAGAGGTCTCGGGTTCGAACCTTGGGGGTTGTTCTTTTCTTAACCAGAGGTCTCGGGTTCGAACCTTGGGTATGAAATTTCTTTTGGTAGGGAGCGCTTCCTCCCGAGTGGGACCTACTCGACGTGAAAATATAGTCGGGTTTCACCGAACACCGAGTGGGAAACAAAAAAGGCTCAATAAAGAAATTGGCAATATGAGGGGCCTAGATAATGTTCAACATGTCAATAGTTGTGTAATGATGGATACAGTATGTTTTTTCTTAAACAGAAAACTGTCGGCTAATTTTCCTTAAGAACTTAAATGGCTTAGGTGAAAATATTCTAATTTGAGGGGCCTAGATAGCTAACTTCCAAAAGAAAATTATGTTAGTATTTTGATTTCCAATTTTTAATGCGTCTATAGCTCAATCTTATCTACATGTTTTTTTAAAGTTTTACTTTTTGTCTTTTTTCCACCTAACAGTGACCTTTGCAGGAGAAAATCTTTAGTCCCGAAAAGAAAATAATAATTAATCAAAAACTCTTCAATTGGTTCAGCAGTCAAAATTCGAGAATTTTCTTTACATGGGATTGATTTTTGCCATGAAAGGAAAGAGACAAAACATCTGGTTTCGACTATATATGTATTAATTTTTATTTTCTTTTATTTGATTCAAATAAATCCAAAATTAAGATTTGTAGTTAACTTTTCATTTATATATTATTGTACTATTAAGATATTCTATTCACTACTAAAAAACATCAATTAGCGATAGATAAATTCTGTAGCTAAACAGAAAAATTCGTCGCTAATTCCATTTAGCAACAACAGATTAACGATAGATTATCAAAAAGTTCTATTAGCTACGAACGATTTAATGACCGAAGTTTGAAAGACTTAAACAATTTTACCACTTAAAGATATGGTTGGACATTAGATTCGCATCGTCAAAAAGTTAGAGGGAGAGAGAGAAATTAATTCCATATAAGTAAGACTTTATTTTTCAACTTGATGAGATACAAATACAATAATACTAATTCCAGAACATTTTAATTAATTCTTGAAACAGTCGAACAGTCCACGTTCTGTCTTAGGTGTTGCAACTTCTTTCCTCAAGGATAATGGCAATTACCAAAAGCTGCATAGATTAAAAAGATTTAAAAAATAATTAGATAAAATACATACATTTCAAATATTTTTTTTTGAAGGGAAATTAAAATTAGAATAAGATTTTACTTACAAGGATCAGAGACAGCAGGTGTTCCAATTTCTGAATTGCATATACCTTTGGCCTTATAGAAAAGATCTAGTGCATAAGAAGCATGATTTCTCAAAGTATTTGGTTCAAAACATGCACCACCTGGACGTATTGGACTACAGTCTAATTGTGAACATGTAGAATCGATAAATCCTTGTAATTTGTCTGGAGGAGCTGATACAATTGCTACACACCATGTATTCCCCTGTATACATATGCAATAATTAATTTTTTCAAGACAAATATATATACGTATACACATAGGCGGAATCAGAATTCTAACGTGACGGAGGCACCATTATTTTGCTCAATTAATGTCCCTTAAAGGCTTTTATTGTTTAGGCTTTTATGTATGTATGTATATATATATATATATATATATATATATATGTATGTATGTATGTATGTATACAAGATTTTTGCCAGTATTTACGAGGTCCTGTGACCCCTCAACACTACACACATAGGTCCGCCTCTACATATACGAGAGAAAGAATGACAGAGACATAATATAGAAGTTGCTATATATAATCAACAACGATAACAACAACAATAAACCCGAGTAGTCCCACAAATGGGGTATGGGAAGGGTAGAGTATACGAAAACCTTATTCCTATCCTGTGAAGGTAGAGAGATTATTTCCAATAAACCACCGACTCAAGGAAAAAAATAAAAAAGAAACTGAAACAACAAGCAGTAACAACAACAATGATAAAATTCTTTATTTTATTTTTTTTCATTTAAAAAATAATGAAATTCTTACTTGTTTTTGGTTAGCCCATTCAGAGACTCCAAGGCAGGAGGCAAAGAAGAAAAAGAAAGAAACAAGAAACAAAGAAATGCAGCGTTTTGCCATGGATTTTCTTATGCAAATTATGCAAGTAATACCAGATGCAGCTAGCCTATAGACCGCTGAGGTTATATAATACTAGAAAAAATTAAATAGTGTCAGTTACTAGTGCATTTTTGGTCATAAAAATGAGTAAATCATGTAATCTATAAACTAATTACTAGTATAAAGCTCTATGGCAGGTAATATTTAATCTCTATATACTGGTAATGTAAGGGAATATCTTATTCTACCAAATCACCTAAGGATAACTACAAGTAATTATCCATACTTAATTACTTACTGAAGTAATTTCAAAAATAAGATTATATTTCTTGTTATAATAAATAAAGAAATTCTTCATACAGAACAAGGTCGTTTGGTACAATGGCGAGGTATCTCAGAATATCGTAAGGTGTGAGATATCCCATGAGATTAATTATCCCACCTTCTATATGAGATAATTAATCCTATCATTTTAGGAGGCGTTTGTTATATGGGATAAGTATAATAATCCCGAAATAAATTAAGTTTGGGATTAATTTTATCACATGTTTGGTATTAGCTAATCCACGAATAACTTTTACACTAAAATGATGAGATTAACTATCCCATATAGAGGATGAGATAGCTAATCCTATGAGATATCCCATCATTGTACCAAATGATTAGTGTAAGAGTTATCCCGTGATCAAATAATAGCCCACACTAAATATGGGATAAATTAATTTTAAACTTTATTCCGAAATTATTATTCTTATCCCATATCCCAAATTAACCCTACTAGTGTTTATATGTTAAATCTATTTTGTAATGATTATAATCGACGAAATCGACTAAGTTTTTAAAGGCCAGTGACTTAAAAACTTGAGATAGAGAGTACAATCTAAAATATGCTTGGCATTAAACGGGATAAAAGTTATTTCCAGTAATACATTTTACCTGTACGTCACTCTTTGTCATTTAGAACAATTATGATTTGATAAAAATCATACTTAATGAAGAATGTCATGGCTAACATTTATGTAAAAAAATACTCCCTTCGCTCACTTTTATTTGGCATGTTTTGACTTTTTACACTCCTTAAAAAATAATAAATGAAATGTATAATTTACCATGATACCCATATTAATTGATGCATATTTTATTTGAATTTGAGAAAATAATTTAAAATGAGTAATAAATACTGTGGGTATAACAGGAAAAAAATTGTCTTCTCTTGATATGCGTAAAGTGACAAGTAAAAATAAAAATCTATTTTCGGTATTACATGCCAAGTAAAAGTGAACGGAGGGAGTACTTTTTTGCAATCGAAGCGAAAGAATTTAGTAATTGACGGACTGGGCTGGACTAGCCTACCAGTTTGATGGGCCTTATAATGGCCAGCACGGCCGGCCCATCATTTTTTAAAATATAATTTTTAATTTTTTCTTTAAGTTCTAACCTAAAAAAAGATAAATATTTAAAAGTTAAAAAAATATTTTTGAAAAAATTTCACAAAACTTAATAGTAACTTTTTATATTGTTCCAACATATCACAATAAAAACTAAAAAGGTAACAAACTATTCAAGAGAACGTCCATGACACTTATGAGATATCCAACACACCATCTTCATCAAAGACATTTGAATTCGCTTGTGAGAAGGTTGTCTTAACATCTTCACTTGCATCTACATCTACAATCCGTATACAATATTAATTAGTTAAATATTAAGACTAATCAAATTTTTAAAACTAATTAATGTTTTAAGACTTTGATCTTTTAATATGACGGGCTTAATAAACATTAAGCTTGGGATACTCTTTTTGTTACTTTTTGTGTCATATACCTTTTATATTTTATACCCATTAATTTCAAACTACTTACCCTTTAATATCCAGACCCAAACTATTTACTACTCCTACCCATGCTGCCCAAACTATTTACCTGGTTATTTCCCAATAATCTTACGTCTGTTTGCGACTGGTGGCTTTGGAAGTTCATCAACTCCTCGAACTGGCATGAGTGACTCATTCGGGTTTGGCTGATTGATTAACAAACTTGGTGGAGAATTCCGAATCTCCTGATGTGGAGATTGTTACTCTCAAACTCTATTTTGACTATTGAATACCCTATTAGCTAATAAACATAGACACTTGATATTTTGACTATTGAATACCTTCTTCTTTCTCTTCATCCAAACTGGTTTTTGGAGATTTATTGTACAAAAATTCAAATCTAGCATTGAAGGACCTTGAAGCTTGAAACTCATAACTTGGTTTGTTTGAGTTTTTAATTATTTTGATCCGATCCTATATGGGTTTGTTTGGAAAGTTGATTGGAGGTTGTAGCTAAAGTTTTAGTCAATTTGGTAGAGATTTTGTAGTAGATTTTAGAAGTTTGGGTTGAAATATAGTTGAACAAGAGAAGAAGACGAATTTGTATTGTATACTCAAATAATATACAAATATACCATTTTGGTATACAATTAATTCCAACTATATACCCTATTAGTATAGCTATATACTATATTAGTATCATATGCTAGTTGATCATTTTTTTGTTGTATAGCTGCATCTATTAGTACAATATTTGATTTTCTTTTAATAATAGTAATATAGTACTGATGATAGGCTATAATTGCATATTTTAGTCGCTTATTACACTCGAATTTACTGCACTTTAATTGAGTTTGCGCTTTAATCGCTAGTGTTTTACACTAATTGTGTGTTTTATGCCTTGTAGGTGTGATTCCGAGCTATATAGATGTTATAGAATGAATTTAAGTGATTTGAAGCTTTGAAGTCTGAGTAAAAGCTCAAGGAATTAAGCCGGGATCGTGTTCGGAGGTCAAATTTGATAATTAAGTACGAACGAAGACTTGAGGAGGCATATTGCGCACTGTCTAGTAAAATAGATATAACTTTTTGCTCAGAACTCCATTTGGGCTCCACAATATATGGTTGGAAAGGTAACTCAAAGGGCTACAACTTTCATGTTTTACGTTTTTCCAAATTCCAAACGGAACAGGGTGAAAAACCGCGATTTTGCCGCGACCGCGGTAGAAGATGGTCGCGGACAACTGAAGAATCAGAGGGCATGTTTGGCCGCGGTTCCACCGCGACCGCGGCAAAACCGCGGCAGGAAGCGAAAATTTCACAGACTAAAGTACAAAACATGGAATTTTAAGTCCTAAACCCTATATTAAACAAAGGAGGCCGGCCAAGAACAAGAGGGGGACATATTTTGGACACAAATTAGACCTAAGGAGGCGAGGAGACACTACTTTAGGGTTAGACAACACCCTTGGAGGCAAGAACACATTGGGAGCAAGGCGGAGAATTCTTCTACGAGTTTTTTCCTTCCTCTTCCTATTTTTCATTGTTGGTTATGACTTTTAGTATTGTAGTTTTACATACTATTATGAATAGCTAATTTGTTATCTAGAGTTTTGATAGAACCTTTTGTAGGATAAATTCTTGTTATGTTTTTATATAATTGAGCCATAGATTTCTCTATTTGTTCAACTACGTTTATATTTTGGTTGGTTGAAGAGCTCTCAATTAGCTGTGCCTATTTAGTATGCATAACTCGGGAGAGAGTGCATATTTAGGTAATTGTTGAACAACACCACTCCCAAAGTATATGAGGGATCAATAACCGAGGGTTTAAAGGCGGGATTAGGGATAACGAAGCCTTGGGTGCGATCTGAAGTGAGCTGTATAAAAGCCAGCTAGCGTAGCTCGGGAGAGTGCGTCTAGTAAATTGTCGTAATTACTCGGGAGAGATTTACGGTAATAAGAGTGCTCATGATCGGTAGAGAATACTTAGGCGAAATTATAGAAGACATAGCGGGAAGGATTCCGACAATTGGGGAAATCATAACTCTAGACCTCCTTAATCTTTTCTCTAACCCTCAGTATCGTTAGTTGTTAATTTACTATTTTAATTTGTTAGTTAATTAGTTAAACAGAAGAATCTTAATATCTATAAGTTAGGAATTGTTCAAGCTTGTCTTCTTGGTGATAGTGAACAGCTGTAGCTAAACCTTAGTTCTCTATGGGATTCGACTCCGGACTTGTAAACCGGATTATATTTACAGCGACCGCATTGTCCTTTTTATAAGGCATAGTTGGGCGTGATCAAGTACAATATCTTGAAATACTTTATTATATTAATATGTGGTACACTATTTTTTTATTTTTCTCTTTATGCATGTGTGTTATGTAATAGTAGTATAGTAATATAGTTGCGGGGAATTAAACAGTAAAACTGTATACCATGTTGGTATAGTTATATGCCATATTGGTATCACATAGTAGTTTGAATATTTTTTTGGTTGTCTTAGCTGTATTTTTAAGTGAATTCTATTTTGAAATTATTTATATGAACGTGATTTGCAGTGCTGGAATTTTTGTGTGCTGATGGATATAGATTATGTGTATTATGTAATAGTTTTTATAATTATAGGCAATTGTTGGAACGGCCCATACAACTGTATACCCTGTTAGTATATGGAATGAGCAAGTTGCTTTGCGAATATTTAGCTTGCAATGCGATGTGATTTTCTCATACTTTTATTGTATCCTTTAATGTTTTGGTACAGTAGTATAGTCACAGATAGTTGTAGCAATATTTTAAAGCAATCATATACTCTGTTGGTATACATGTATACCATATTGGTATCATATGGTACTAGAAGTCCTTTTTGCTACTTATATTTTTATTGCTTTTTTCAATATTTTTATTATAATTTCTATTCTAACTAGTATATATGGAGATTTAGTGGCCGTAGATTATGTTTTCTTGCTCCATCACTGGTTGGTGTTATTGCTAATGGTAGAGTATGTACTGATATTTGTAGGGAAGGAGATCAAGGTTTGCATGGCAATCACGTGGAATTAGAAAAGGAACAAGAAATAAAGAAAAAAAATAAAAAAAATAAAAAAAAAGAAGGAGTCAAATTTGAGTGTGAAATAAGTTATGGTAAAAATAACAATAATACGATTTGGGCAAAAATAAATGAATAAAAGAGAAAAAATAAAAAAATAGGAAGAAAATGAGAAAAAAGAAAAGGAGAAAAGAAAGAAAAAAAGGAAAAAAGAAAAGAAGCATAGAAATAAAAAAGAATTGGAGAATAAAGAAAAAATTTCCCACAAAAACTACTATGGGTAGAAAATGTAATTAGTTTATGGGTAAAAAAATAAAGGGGGTTTTGACACAGTTACCCACAAAAATAAAACTATTTACCCTTGTCTACCCATTTATTTTTAATATTTAAATAGTTTTATTTTTGTGGGTAACTGTGTCAAAATCCCTTTTATATACGTATTTTTATTAGGCCCACGGCCCGGCCCAACCCACCCTCAGTCAAGCCTCATGGGCCACGGGCTTACTCGGGCCGAGCTTAAAAACATCGTTTTTAAATGGGCTCCAAAAAGTCTAGCCCAGCCTAGCTAAATCACGGGCTGTGCTGGATTGGCCCAACGAACCAAACCCATATTGACGGCTCTACTGTATTTTATAATCACACTTATTATTTATTTATTTAAGACCTCTTGTATAATGTATGCGCATAACTTTATGAGGAGCCCAACAGTATAATATTTTTGATATTTTAGTTGCTCTCATTCATATATTGCTAATGCACGTATTTATATTTCATATCATCTCGTATAATATTATCCAAATTTTGCCTGTAACTAATTTTATGTGGCAAACGAATATGGTAATTTAATGTTGTAAATTTTATGTCACGATTAATTTTTGTTATGCAAAAAATTGAAAGCATGAGAAACTGAGAATGCATACGTAACTTTTTAGATTCTCTGATCTACGATCTAAGTATGTAACAAAAAAAAACAAAAGACGTCTACCAAAAAGTGGAGTGATGTTAGATACAATAATTAGCATGAAATCAAATCCAAAAGTTTGAATAACACTGACATGTTATTTAACAAGATACCTAATACAAAAATAAACTAAAGTATAAACCAAAAAAGGAAAAATAATTTGAGCATATTCTCTGTCAAAAACAATCAAGAATCCAAATTACTGTTGAAAGGTCTTAACAAAACCTCACACAAAAAAACAGCCCGTGCATTAAGCTCCCGTTATGCAATGGTCCGATCTACTATTCTATGCTACATATAATACACTATATTTTTGCAAAAAACTATTTTTACGGCACACCCGTTACCTTCTCATCACGTAACAACAACTTTAGTAGTTACGCCAATGCTACCTTCTTGACAAAACCTCACAATTCTTACATAAATGGAAAGCTGTTAATCCTTTATTATTTTAATTATTTTCATTTATTTCTATTCTTAGTTAGTTGGTGGTCCTGTAGATGACATATTTTAAGTATTATATTCTTTTAGAGAGCTGATTATGGGCTGCTTGTCTTGAAGCCAATCCACTTGATCACATGAAGTCTAATCTTTAACTCACTATCTTTTTCTTTTTTGCATCTTAGCTAAGATTTAATACCCCATGTGGGATGTTTCTAATAGTTGTTCTTAGATTTTGTCTTCTTTGATTTTCTGCTTTGGTTAAAAAATTCAGTAGTACATCTTTTATTAATCCCTTATTGGTCCTCTTCTGACATGTTTCTACTTGACCTTTTTTTTGATATGAGTGAGATTCTTGATTTCTTGAGTATTATTGCTAGTTGTCTTTAGTTGGGTTTTAGCAAAATATGATTTTTAGCCAAGTATGATGGTTTTCTTGGGAATATAATGAAAAATTGTACTGAATTTTGAGCAAGATGGGATTTTTATGATATTTCAATATGTGGGTTGAAGAGCTAGAGTTTCTTGAGTATTATTTCTAGTTGGCTTTAGTTGGGTTTTGGCAAAATATGATTTTTCACTAAGCATAATGGTTTTCTTGGGAATAAATATGATGAGAAATTGGACTAAATGTTGAGCAAGATTGGATTTTTATGATATTCCAAGATTTGGGTTGAAGAGCTCAAGTGAATATAAATATATTTAGTTGAGGATTATTTGGTTTTTGTCCAATTTTGTAGGATCTGTGGAATTTGAGTAGGTGGGAATGGAAAGCAATTCTAAGACAATTGTGTGGTTTAGGAGGGATTTGAGAATTGAGGATAATCCAGCTTTAGCAGCAGCTGCTAGGAATGGGAGTGTATTTCCAGTGTTTATATGGTGTCCTAAAGAAGAAGGGCAATTTTATCCAGGTAGAGTTTCAAGATGGTGGCTGAAACAATCTCTTATTCACTTGGAACAGTCTTTGAAATCTCTTGGTGCTGAACTTGTGATGATCAAAGCTCAGAGTACACTTTCTGCTCTCTTGGACTGCATCGAAGCTGTTGGGGCGACAAAAGTTGTGTATAATCATCTATATGGTCAGTAGTAACTTTCATTTGGCTTTTGCAGTTAGAATTAATGTTTTTTATTCTATGAAGGGGAGCCTTGGCGTAACGGGTAAAGTTGCTGCCATGTGACCAGGAGGTCACGCGTTCGAGCCGTGGAAACAGCCTCTTGTAGAAATGTAGGGTAAGGCTGCATACAATAGACCTTTATGGTCCGGCCCTTCCCCGGAACCCGCGCATAGCGGGAGCTTAGTGCACCGGGCTGCCCTTTTATTCTATGGATAAAACCTCTTGTTATAGTTAATTTTGTATTGTGAGCTAATTTGATAGATCTAATCCATTGAACTGTCAATAGAAACAGTTTCCAATTAGCTTTGTTGTTCTTTAATTATATGGAAAGGAAAAAGGGTAATACAACTTATCAACAGGATTGAAGTTTTAGACATCTTGGAGATATTAAACTTCTGAATTTACTGAAAGAAAATGATTTGCCTTCGCAGAAAGCAGATCTCTTCTGAGGTTTAAGCATTCCAATCTGTTAAAAAAGCAATAATTTTACAGAGAAAAGAGAACAAGAGAGAAAGCTCGGAATTGTTTAGTTAGGATAGCAATATCTTACAGGCCATAGTTTTCATAAGCATCAAAGCCACTCTGGATTATCTGATGTAGTTAATAGAAATAAATAGAAGCGTCCTGGCAAAGCTTCAAACAAAGAGGTTGTGCTGTTCACTTCATTGAATTGACTCAACTTACTTAAGATTAAAGATAGGGGTGGGGCGGGCAGTGAAGGCTAATTTATATAATACAGTAGAAGAGGCTTCTAAGACAAAAATCTAGTTATGTGCAGATCTTAGTAGACTATGATTAATAAGTTAAATTCCTCTAATGAATCAGTGCTAATGTTGGAATAAATGCTATCTTTGATGTGAAAGTGCCTTCTGTAGTCTGGAAATGCTCCTTAGGAATGTTCACAAGTCTAAGTGAAAATCACATTTTGATTGGACTTGGATAACCATTAATAGGAGGGTATGGAGGTCAAAAATTAGGGTAGAGGAATATCCCCTTACATACCGGTTGCTTTAGTATTACTCTAGTTGTGGCATACTCTTGGACTCATACTATTACTTGATATTGCTTGTGTTTCGGTTTGTTAATATCCTGTTGTTGGCTGTGTTCCCTTTCCATGACTTGTTCATTTTTTATATTGCATTTCTTTACTACTGATATTGTGCTTACTTGAGCCGATGGTCTATTGGAAACAACCTTTCCACCTGCACAAGGTAGGGGTCTGTGTACAGTGTACACACTACCCTCCACAGGCCTTACTTGTGGGAATACACTGGGTATGTTATTGTTGTTGTTGATTGGACTTGGATAACGCAGAATTTTCACTCCCTGGAAGCAGAGCTGTTTGTGATTTCTCTTTTTTCTTGCAAACTTATTGAAGCTTTTGACTTTTGGTTCTTTACTTCTTTTCTTTTTCTTCGTTTTGTTGTTTCTCTGTTTCGCTAGTAAATGAAGGTTACACGACATAAAAACGTAATGTTCTCAGCGATGGTAAGAATCCGTATGAATAGAATATGACCTTCAACAAAGTTTTGGTGCACTTAACTTGAATTGACACCATTCTCTTGGAAGCTGATTAAATTACCAGGTAGGTGTCCAAAGATAATCTATCATTCCTAACCGAGTGAAAAACAAACCTATAAGGGCTCCAAACAGCACCTTAATGGTACATAGAAGTACTTTTGCCTATGTTCCGAGATACAAGATAGTCATCACAATTTTACCTTTTCCCTTACTCCATTGAAATCAAATGGATGCATTTTTCACTCAACAGTTGAAGGCTTAAGAAATGTAAGAGGAGCTGCTAATTTCTAACGCTGACAATTCCCTTTTTATTGGCTGGATCTATAGAAGCATCATTCAAATTAAAAAAAGTTACAAGTTTAATGAACACCTAGGACTCTAAATGATCTGATGTGCTTGGTTTCTGATTCTGAGGAAGTATATGATCAATTTCCTGTTTGATTTAGATCCTGTTTCACTTGTTCGTGACCACAATATCAAGCAAAAGCTGGGGGAACTTGGCATATCTGTTCAGAGCTACAACGGGGACTTACTGAATGAACCATGGGAAGTCTACGACGATGATGGAAAAGTTCTTACAGCTTTTGATGCATACTGGGAGAAGTCTTTGCGTCTCCAAAAAGAACCCGTTTCACACCTTCCACCTTGGAAATTAATTCCAGCTGCAGGTATGTCTGAAGAATAGTTAATCTCATTTTGCTTGAACATTTGGAAGTACACTGAGCATCACTACATCCATTGTTCGCCATCTCTTGGATGTCTAGCAAAAATATGGTTAATACTGATATTGAACAATGTTTACCATTTCTTAGATGCTTTATATTTTAAATGCCTTGGCGTAACTGGTAAAGTTGCTGCCATGTGACCAGGAGATCACGGGTTCAAGCCGTGGAAACAGCCTCTTGCAGAAATGTAGGGTAAGACTGCGTACAATAGACCCTTGTGGTCCGGCCCTTCCCCGGACCCCGCGCATAGCGCGAGCTTAGTGCACCGGGCTGCCCCTTTTTATATTTTAAATGCACACGTATCATAAACCTATAGAAAAACCTGATAATTTTCGTCTCTCATTGACAGGATCAGTTAAAATGTGTTCGGTTGAGGAATTGGGACTGGAAAATGAGTTAGAAAAATCTAGTAACGCATTATTGGGGAAAGGATGGGCACCAGGTTGGAGCAATGCAGACAAGGCCTTAACAGAGTTTATAGAGAACCAACTACTTGCTTACTCAAAGGATAGGCTGAGAGTCGGGGGAAACTCGACATCCCTTCTGTCTCCTTATCTTCACTTTGGAGAAGTTAGTGTGAGGAAGGTTTTCAACAGTGTGCGTTTGAAGCAGATACTATGGACCAAAGAGGGGAATTCTGTTGGAGACGAGAGTGCTCGTCTTTACCTTAGAGCTATTGGGCTTCGAGAGTATTCCCGCTATATCTGTTTTAATTTCCCATTTACTCATGAAAGGTCATTATTGAACAACCTGAAGTTTTTCCCTTGGAATGCTGATCAGGCCCATTTTAAGGCATGGCGACAGGGTCGGACAGGTTACCCATTAGTAGATGCAGGAATGAGAGAACTTTGGGCAACTGGCTGGATTCATAATAAAATACGAGTTATTGTTGCTAGTTTCTTTGTGAAGTTCTTACTTCTGCCATGGCAATGGGGGATGAAGTACTTTTGGGATACACTCTTGGACGCGGATTTAGAAAGCGATATTATTGGTTGGCAATATATCTCCGGTAGCTTGCCCGATGGTCATGAACTTGAGCGCCTAGATAACCCCGAGGTACGTCCGGTTTATGCTTATGCCTAGCTATAAGCATGGTTTATATTTGGGGCATCTAGTTGATGAGTCCAAAGCTTATTTTTTTTAGTCAACTCTTCATGCAGGTTCAAGGATTCAACTACGATCCGGAGGGTGAATATGTGAGGCATTGGTTGCCTGAGCTAGCAAGAATGCCAGCTGAATGGATCCATCATCCTTGGGATGCACCTCTTACTGTGCTCAAGGCTGCGGGGGTGGAACTCGGAATGAATTATCCGAACCCTATCATTGATGTAGATGTTGCGAGGGATCATCTAATGCAAGCTATATTTATCATGCGAGAAAAAGAAGCAGCTGCAAATGCCGCAGATGCAAATGGAACCAATGAAGTTGTTTTTGATAACTCTGAAAATGTTGGAGATTCGGCCAATCCAAAGGTTGTAAAGGGAAAGGTGCCTTGCCCGAGCAGTTCATCTTATGATCAGAGGGTGCCATCAATGCAAAAGGGATGCACAAATAAGAAGAGATCAAAGCCAGCCGAAGAAGAAAAGAAAATCAAAGATAATTGGCTTAGCTGCAAGATCAAGAATGAAGGGAAGATCTCAAACGCGGATGATGACTTGTGCTCGACTGCAGAATCCTGTTCTATGAAAAAGCAGATGACCACCAGCAGAAATTCATTTTCAGTACCTCAAGCAATTTCCAAGTCTTACGACATAAAATCCTTTGATGGTGAAGCATCATCACATGTGAAGCTGCAAAATGAAGAAGCGATTGACATGGAAATCAATTCATGCAAAAATGGTATGACTCGAACACCCTAAGGTTGAGTTTTTGTTTGTGCAATTTCTCCATTTAGAACAGGAAAGCTTCATGTATTGCTACACAATACTTTCATTCTGTTCAATCTTTTTTCTTGTCTCTGTTCGAGTCTTCACCATGACGCGAACCTGTCTTCTTTCCATATGCAGGAGCTATTGCAGAATGATTCCCTCACCATCTCAAACGGCTGTCTCTTTCGAAATTGTTCAATAGGAGATACAAATATAGTCAAATCAGCATATGCAGTGGAACGGCGATTCTGTTAAACATGTCTTCTTGTAAATAACTACCTGGTAATCGTTAGCGGGGTTGTAGTTTGTTTGACATAGTAATGATAGAACTCAACTGAAGCAGCTCAGATTCATGGTTGAATCTCTACTTTGTTTAGTTACATATATAGACCATGCATTTGTAATCTTGAAAATGAATTTCTCTTGTATTTCATAGTAATAAAAGATGAAAGAGGTCATCCAGTTTTGAGAAACTATAACACAGTCTACTGTGGATATGATGTGCTTGTCTATTCTTATAATTCACAGATTTTTGCATATGTATTTGTGGTCCAGCCCTTTCCTCGACCCACGCATAGCAGAAGCTTAGTGCACCGGACTACCCTTTTTTCTTTCGGTGGTGAAAAATTGGCACTCGATCTGACTAGGCAAGGGACATACTAGGTTTAGAAATTTGTAGCATTTGACTAGAATGTCACTGAGTAGTCAGTAGCCTTCCATACAACAGTTTATGACGAGTTCTAGAAGCACTCAACTAAGGGTGTCCAAACCGACTAGGGGTGGCAAACGGATGGGTCGGGTCGGATATGTGTGGATAAAAAACGGGTAATGCAAAAAACGGATAAATTATCCGACCCCACCCATATTAATACGGATAAAAAATGGGTTAACCGGCGGATAATATGGATTCCATATTATCCATGGTTTCTTGAGTATGATCACTTTTGAGAGAATTATTAGTCTCCCAAACTTGAGGAACCCACAATTTGATGCTTTACAAATGTAAAAACTAGTTTCTGGACACATGCATTGCATGTGTATTTCATATTATGAGTATAAAATTTTGAAATGGCATAGATATTATTAAAAAAGTTATGTCAAGTATATATCATACAAAAAAATTGAAGAGAAAAAATGCAAGCTGAAAATGATGAATGGTGAATAATATAGTTATGTGCTCAAAATGATCGGATAGAGTTTGAGTTGCGAAGGTAAACAATTCTATTTGGTTAGGTAAATATGTTTCTAATAATATTAATTTTCATTTTATGAGGTACAATCGTGTTACATGATCATATAGCTCACCTAATATGTCTTTATAGACGATGTTCTTGAAGTATGCTTCATTCTAACGAATGATTGCCCTATTATAACAAGATTTTTAGTTACCGATCGACATTAGTTCGTATTTTTTTGAAAGTGCAATATATAATTATTCATGTAGCAAATACAGATAGAGATTGAAACTCTTTCTTACGTACTATATTTTTTTTTGAAATAATGTAAGAATAAGATGTTTGCACCAAAAAAATTGCCAATTAAATTTAAAGCAGCCAACGATAATAAAAATAGAACAAAAAGAAAAAGTTTTCAATAACTGCGCAAAATGATACAACTGCTAGTTAGAATATGAATTGTATAGCCAACTTGAGCAACCTTACATCGAACCAAACATGAACCAACATGGTTAGTATATTCAACAAACTTTTTTCAAGGAATAATGCATTTGTTTTACTACTAATAAACAAGAGAATTAAGTGAAGCAGAACCAAAAAGTATAAATGGATTGATTTGATTTCTTTCTTCTTCTTCTTCTTCTCAACATTAGCTTGCCTTTCTTCTGTTTTGCTGGCTTTTTGTCAACAAACTCCTTTGCCTTTGTAGCCATAAATATTCTAGAGAGGAAATTAGAAAGAAAAATATGAGTTAACAACATGCTAATCCAGAAATAAAAAAAATTAATGCTTAGATTTTAATAATATTTAGACTCTTTTTTTAAAGAGCAATAATATATAGAGTCATATTATAATTTTAGCAACAGAAAAGAAGAGTCATATGCTGTAAGATCAGTATTCAAATTAATGAAGTACTCCAATTTCTTGGACAAATGTGTTTCCTTCTCCTTTTTTATTCCCCCTTATTAATGAAAAGGCATCGAATACTTATAATTAAGCACAAGATCAAGAAAAAGAATTATCGAACTTAGAACTTAATGTCGAGAAGAAGAAACCCCACTCTAATTCTAGGATTTATGGACTTGTTATCAAAGACAAAGAAGAAGTATGAAGGAGTAAAGGAGAAGAAGAAGAAGAGTAAAGTGGTCTTCTGAAGATGTTCGATGCATTTGATGTCTGAACATCTTTTGTTAAAGACTCACAATTGGGCTTACATAGTTATTGGGCCTCTGCATTAATTTTGGACCCACATTCAGATCTTAAGCTCACTAGAGTTATTGGGCCAGCTGAAGATAAGATTATATTTTAGGAATTTTTTCTTTCCTATACCATATATGAAAGTTTATTACCAAAAATATGCATATTTTGTATATTACCGCCTAGTCCACATTTTACCTACAAAATTTGTACCATTCGACTATTAGGCATTAAAGGAGCAGAATATTCCTTAAAAAACGCGCTAAAATTAAGGAGAGAATCTTGGTGATAATTGATTCTACATTAAATTCAATTTTTAAAAAGGGAAAGGAGATTTCTCATCTGCATTTTTTTCTCCAGAACTACAATTCAAATTCTGAAAAAAAAAGAACGAACAACTCCTAAAAATAAGAACAGATTCAACTACTAAGAGTTTTGACGAGCTGAATTCAAATTGTAGAATTCAAAATTTTCGAGTTTCAACAACTCAAAGTTGAAAAAATCTGTTCTTCGTCGTTGCTTCTATCAAATTATCGATCAGATATATCTCTTCTTCATCTTTTCTTCTTTCAATCTAGAAATCCAAAAAAAACATCAACATCAACAACAAATCATGTCCAAAATCGCAATCATGCTACAATTTAATGGGGATTGGGATAATTATGGCTGATTTAGAGATTTTGACGTTGATGCCATTGTGGTAGATGAGAATGCAAGCTACAGTATCCTGATTTTTACAATTGCAGAACAAGTATCAATTGATACTACAGAAAAAATTGTAGAAATCAAATACATCGTGAAATCAAATAGTAGATTGTATATAATTTGTAGACAAATTGTAGTTAATTTGTAGATTGTAGATAATTTATAGATATAATTGCAGATACGTTGTAGATAAATTATAGATAAACTATTTTATGATTGTAAATATTTTTATTGTTGTTTGTTATGTAATTCTAGGTGAGGGCTTCAACAGATCATATCCATACCGTGATAGATGGTGTGAAGCGGTACATGAATCCTACATTATAACTACTATTAACTACAAAACTCTACAATTATGTATAAAACCAGTTCTACAATTCAAACAAATTTACCTACAGTGAATGTACAAATTACCTACAGTTTAAGTACCTAATATAAAAATAACTACAATTTACCTACAGTTACAGGGCAAACAGGAAATACATCATCCACAATCATGTCTACATTATATCTACATTTTAGACTACAATTAATCTTGGAATGTTCTACATAAACTACAAACTAACTACAATTACACTACAAACAGTAAATCTAGTTGAAGGCTTCAACAGATCATATCCATTACACTAAATCTACAATTACACTACAATTACACTGCAATTACACTACAAATACACGACAAACAGTAAATCTAGGCGAGGGCTTCAACAGTCAGTATTTCTAAGTCGTTTGGAGAAGTTGTCGGTAGCTTTTCATATTAGTCTCTTTACCAATAAATTTCTCATTTTTGACTTTTCCAGAAGAGGGAATTTTGTTTGGTACCCAAAAAAAAAAACTACTAAAGTGTATCTGTTTTCATTGTTTTGCTAGTTCGCGGCGTATTAAAATGTTTGTTGCAACTTTTGATTTCATGAAGACTTTCAGAAAATCAGATCACATGCCACAATTGTTGCAGAGGAAATTGGCACGACATTCAAATATAATGAGATTTCGCTGGCTAATGCATCTCAAGGACATCTTTCGTTGATTGATCTTGCAATCGTGGATGAAGAACAAGAAAGAATGTGGGGTATGGGTAAAAACGTGGGTGAGGGGGTGAGGGTAAGGAGAGAGAAACGTGAGATATATGGATACCTTTAATTAAGGAGTAAAAACTGCCCATTAATTAGATATGGATACCTTTAATTAAGGAGTAAAAATAGCCCATTAATTAGACCCTTAATTAAGTATGGTATAGGATTGGTAATTTGGTATACTAAGTGTAATTTACTCAAACCTTAAACATGTAGGGTGAAAAGGTTTCCTATGTGTTATAGGAATGTAAAAATTCCTATATTTTATTTTATACTTTTCTTATTCTTGTAAATAGCATGTGAGTTTGTTATAGGATAGCCAATAGAATAGGAGACACGTGTATAGGTAGTTATAACTTAGATTCTTTTGCTGTAAATAAATACTCTCTATACAGTATCAACATTCATTCAATTTTTGGAAATACACAAAATATTCTCAAAATCAGATTTTCTTCCTTCAAAATCTTACATGGTGTCGATGCCCCCTTTTTCTCGCGAAATCGGGTTTATGACATTTGGGCGGACAACTCTTTTCCTTTTGGGAATCGGGTTTGCAATTTAGAAGAGTCGCCACCTAATGATTGAGTGCATTAGGACACTAAAAATAAAATAAAAAAAGAACCAGAGAATGGGTAAGGGCTTGAAATTATCTCGGGGGAAGGTGTTAGGCACCCCCCAAGATCCACTAGTATGGTTCCCGGCCATGCTATAATTGTGACTTTTAATATAAACAACAAGTAAACATACAAGACAACTTTCACATAACGATTGCAAACAAGGGAAGTATAAAAGTTAAATAAATATGCTGAAGTTCGAAGATAGGCGATTTCATAATTATTTAAGGGATATACAAGTGCAGGAAAGGGGGTCAAATAATTGATACAAATAATCAAACAAAGGGAATAAAAGAGGCGGAGGTTTGGAGAAGAAACAGTGCTGGAAATCAAATAATTAAAAGAGATTTTTTAGTGATTGAAGTAACCGAAGAAGTTAGAGAACTGAAAAATTAACAGCTTTTCTAAAAAAAAGTTCTGGAAAGAAAAGAAAGTAAACAAATAAAGAGGGATGGGCTCCTAGGTTTATACACAACATGGATCATCCCACACAACACCCGATAATCATTTATACACGTGGTGTTATCGCGTGGTCATCATATCCATGTCTACCCTTACCCACTCCGTTAAGGTATTAAATCGCGGAATGGTCTCGTTACTTATTGCATGCTATTACCCACCCCAATCCTATTAGTCCCTGAGGCAGTTGGGACTACTAATCCTAAAGGGAAGGGAGATTGGCTTTTCAGAATTTTAAAAGGACAAAAGTCTAGTG